GCCCAGACCTATGCCTCCACCGCCAAGTGCCTGAACATCTGGGCTCTGGTCTTGGGCCTCCTTCTCACCCTTACGTTCATCATTCTTTTCTTCACTGGCTCACTGGTGGTTTTCCAAGCAATTTCAGAAATGATGAAAGGTTATGGAGGGTACTAGCAGTTGTCCATGGCCTGAGGCCGTCACTCCTGTCACAGCATTTTGTGTACACATCAGTCTACAACTGAATTCAATAAAGCGTGTGTGTGTGTGTGTGTGTGTGTGGGTGCTGTGTTTGTACCTGGGAGGGGCCCCATTGAGACTGTTCAGCCTGCCCCTAGGCCCATGTCCCCCACTGCCCCCCTGCACCCAGCCCTGTGTCCTTTGTGTGGTCCCAGGCACATCCTCGGGCCTTGTGGGTATCTGGCTTCAGGCTGGGGGCAACTAATAGACAATAGTTGTATGTAGGGGCCCCTACTTCCCAGAGGTCTGAGCCCTAAGCAGAACGGGTTCATTTGTGGCAAGGCGGCACTGAGGCCAGAACGTTCTTAGCTTCCAGGAATGCGCTGGCTGGGGAGAGTCGCAGGGCGCCTGATACAGGGAGTCCACAGTCCACTTCTGGAGCTTCAGCCCCAGCCGGCCGTGCCCTCGCCCTGACTGGAAGTCAGCTCCCTAACCTCCTCTGTCATGGCCTCCACATTGTGGGCAATGTGCATGGCCCAGTGCCCACCCAGCCCACACCAGCTGGACAAGTGAGGTGGAACTGGGGTGGTGATAGCCTCCCCTTTCCTCCCTTGTACGCCCAGACCCCAGCTGGGGCTCACCCACACCTCTGTCCCTGCTCCCACAGTGCCCTAACTCGAGGATGCACCAGGCCGGTTGGGGTACCCTGGGTGGAGGAGGGCACCTGGGCAGATCTGCCCCTCCGGGGTGGGGAAAGACTTGCTTTGGCCGGCAAGGGGTAGGCCCCAAATCCCTGCCCGAAGGGCAGGGCGACTGCGACCTTCCCTGACCCCAGAGCCCAGAAAGGGATCCAAGGCCTTGGCCAGGAGCTGCCCAGACCCTTTTGTGCCGTGAGCACATCTGTCCTTCCTACCCTCATCCCCCCTCAGGACTGAATCTGGGCACTTCAGGAGCCCTGGCCGTCCAGCTTCCTCCTGAGATCACTCCATGCAAAGCCAGAAGAGAATATTCCCTCCCAGGTGCTCTGTGGAAACACTTGGGATGCGTACCCCACCAGCCGGCCCCGTCACCCCCACCCCCCACCTCCCACCTCCCCACCTCCCAGCACAGCCCAACATGGGGTAGGGCCCCTCAAGTTGTTCTCTCGCCACCTGCGGTCCTGGCCCGCCCGCTGTGGG